AGAACGAGGGAGACCGGTCGGTGATCTGATCCTAGATCGTCTAGTGTCTCGATTGCTCTGAGGTTGAGAGAAACTTCTTGGAGTAACGCAAAATCTAACACATCGGGGGCGTGATCGGTGTTATCGGGAAAGTGAGTAACACCGAGAGGACTATGGACGGTAATATCAAGAGACTGCGTGATATCGAGCAGTATCTTGCCACTAGGGGACGTAGTGCGGCGTGTCCATTCAGTATGCTTGGAGTTAAAATCTCCAAACATAATGACTGAATTGCCTAAAGATAAAATGGCCTCAAAATCTTTTTTGAGGGGATAGGTTCCTGAAGGGATGTAACAGGAGGCTATGAGGATGGATTGATGTCCAGTCATAGCTAGCCTGCATACCGTGGCTTCCATGTTGGTAAGCTGCGGAGTAGAAATGGGCGAGCAATGAAGTGTCTTCCTGTCCGGTCCGGTCGGGTCTGTCGTTACGAAGAAGAGAGAAGTTTTTAATAGTAAGGCCTCTAGTGTCCTTAGCTTTGAGATTAGTTTTCTGTAGGAGGAGGAAATCGACTTCACGATTTCGAAGAAAGAGCTTGAGCTCTGGGAGGTTATTTCGCAAGCCGCGAATATTAAATGATACAAGCGATAAACCCTTAGGTTTGATACGACCGTGAGATCTTGGTAGGTTAATTTGCTCAGTCATTGAAGTTAAGTTAATTAAGTTAACTTAACTTAGAACGCTAACAGAAGGTTATTGTGTTCTGCAAGAACGAGAAGGCGTTCTTGGGGGGACTTCGCCGCGCGCAGTTTGCGTGATACAACGGTTATTTCCCCAACATCGATATTCCTAATAGCGGAATATAGCGTGTTGTAGTCGTCGAGTGTGGGCTCTGCTTCATGTGCGTACGAGGTTGTCCGCGGTGGGTCTGCCTTTTTGGGCCCCCAGGGAAAGACTGGAGGCTGCATTGGCTTGGTGAAGCCCGGAGGGGGGCCGAATTATGCCCTGAGGGGGCCTAGTGGGACCCTGAGAGGGTCGAGGGAAGCCCTGGATGGGCTGAGAAAGGCCCTGACGGGGCCGTTGTTGGAGAGCCGGGAATGAGCGGTCATTCACCGGTGGTGGAGCTTGCCTACTGGGGCGAGGTTGAGGTGCGCGTGGGCAACCCTTGTAGTTGGCCGGGTGTCCTGTCTGGTTGCACAGGACACAAGCGGGCGGGGATTCGGTGTCTTTGGGTCGGGGACACTCTTTTGTGTTATGTGGTTCTAGGCACTTAACGCACCTGGGTGGGGCGGAGCAGTTGGCCGCCGCGTGACCATAAAGTTGGCAGCGGTGGCACTGCGCCGGGAAACCGGGCCTATGTGGGGGCTCAACCTTCATCCTTGACAGGCCACACACTGTGCGTACCTGCCGGAAGATGGCTTTAGCCTTCGGCACGTTCGATAGGATTACTAGGGCAAGGTTGTATCTCTTGCCCGTTCTGTTGTGCATTTTGTGCACTGCTTCTACGGGGAAACCTTGGGACTTAAGGTCCTCAAGGATTTCCTCGTTTGAGAACTCAAATGGGACGCCTCTGATGACGGCCCTGACTTTACGCTCTTCCGGGAGAGCGTATGTGTGGTAGGAGATTCGTTCGGCTGTGAATAGCCGGGTGATCTGACGGAAGTCCTCGATCGAGGCAGGGATGATTTTGATCGCCTCCCCGAGGTTGATGGCATGATCATACTTGATACCTGCGTCGTAGCAGGTTTTGGATAATTGGGTGAATTTTGCCTTGTCTCTTAGGAAGACAGGGGGCGGGACTTGCTTCTTAGCAAGGACTGGAGCACAACGAGAGGCTAGTTTGGGCGGTTTGGGGATGTCTAGTGACATCAGTGGGACGGCGGCAGCGTTGAGGGCTGCGGAGGTTGTGGGAGCGGCAGGGGCCGCTGAAATAGGGGGGTGCGTTTTAACGCGGCGCGCTTACCGTTGCGCTTGGAGGTGACGGTGGTGAAAGTGGACTCCCCGGTTCCGTCGGAGTCAGAGAACTCCGATGAACCGGAGCCTGAGGTGGTGGCGGGCCTCTTCCGGGGAGGTCGGTGCCGAGGACTCGGAGCATGCGTACTCCATTTCTAAGGGGGCAGATTCTAGCGGGGCAAAGGAGTTCCTCGTTGCGAGGTAAGACGCTATTACCGGCGGCGGGTGGTGTGCCTGAGGGGCAGGGAGGGAAGCCTGGGCGGCGATGGTGGCGATGGCGGCGAGGACCGTCTCATTGCCATTTAATCCGAATTGGTTAATGAGGGCGGCGAGGGACTCAGTGAAGCTGGGTGTGGCCATTTTGGGTCAGTAAGCAAGCTAAGCTATGTAACGATAAAGATGAGGACGGGTCCCTGTTCTCGGTAGAACAGGGACTAGATCGCGAGACGTACTACGACACACTATACACGTAATAATAATGCAAGAATAACAAGAAAAACAAGAAAATAAAGGAGACAGAAAAAAAAAACGATAAATGATAAATGAAAAGACAAGTGAAAATGAAAAATGAAAAGCGGAAGTCAGTCAGACCTCCCTGCCTGAAGACAGGGGGGCAAGAACTGTAGCGAGAAAGTGACTCACCGGCAGCCTCGACGCTGTTCCGCGTGAGCAGGACAGCGGAGGCGCGTGAGAGCGAGACAGCACTACCGTACTGTACGGGAGCGCGGACCACCTGGAGGCGACCGTCCAAGAATGATGCCGCCGGCGGACTGAGCACTGCTTCGGCGCTGTACAGCGCGAGCGGGACAGCGGGGGCGCGAGAGCGGGAGAGCACTACCGTACAGGAACGAAAGCGCGGACTACCTGGATTCTACCGATCGGAAGCGATGCCACAGGCGGAATGCTTTAACGGCGGCCGCTCCATCCTTTTTATACAATCGAGACAAGTAGCTACAAGAGCGCCACTACAGGTGCAATGCGCAGGTGCACGTGTTGTTTACAATAATTCCGACTACCCAAAGCGGTACTGTGACATGTTATTTATTATTGTGTGTTATTATTGTGTAAAATAGGTAAATTGTGACTTTTACCTAAATAACCTAAATAATTTCGAAGGTTTCTACGGCCGGGTCATGAGAAAAGAGAAACATGGATAAAATTTGTGCAAAATAATCGGAATGAAGAAGCATGGCTTCCGACTCCTCATACATATGTATGTTCATTACATTTTAAGGATGGGTTCATTACACGATACGTATTATACAAAAACAGGACGAGTTTATCTTAAGAAAACTGCTGTACCATACGATAAAAACACACTAATAATATCTGTAAGTGTGGTTTCTACATATATAGTTCCAATTAAATTTTGTGTTTATTATTTTATATTTCTTACTTTGTTATTTGCTAATTCTGTACATATACTATGAGAAATAAAATTGTTTATTTGGAAAATAGAAGAACTCTTGAAACCGATATAGAGGCTGAAAATAATTGTATTATTTTTGCAAATATGCTGAACGAGGAAAATATAACGGAAGCTTCCAAAATAATAAATGGTACATTTCCAGGTATGTAAGCAATCGGTTGACCAGAGTTAAAATGCGAGGAATGTATTGATACTTTGACCACGACACAAAAACTTCCGCATCATAAACCAATAAGTATAAAAGATATGAGTGGTTTATGCTACTCCACTGAAGATGTTTATAAAATTTTGTTTATCGACGGAAATGGTTGTATGTCGTTTAATTCAGTCCAGTGGCGAGAATGCCCTGTCATCTAAATGGGACTACAACTAAAACACAAGTAATGCATTAAAGTGTTTTGTTGAGAAAGACGTATTCGTTTGTTTACTTGGTCATTCATTTGATCAACCTTCTACATTAAATCACAGAGTGCATGTAATACGTGCAATAATAAAGAACAAATATAGAACTGTTTGATTGCACTGTTTGAGGCAAAGATAAGAAATGATTATACGAGCAAACGCCAAAAGTTCACTAAACTTATATTGCTTTTATTTATTTAATGACAAAGCAAAGTATTATTTTGTTGTAGGTACAAAAGTTGTGTCACTTCTGCGTTGTAAAATCTATAGGAGCGACTTGTTGTATACTACGTTGAACGATACACGTAAGTGCCACGAAATCCCTGGCGCTTATGACGTTTTGGTCGTGAAAAACTAATCTCTAATGCAAACTAGCACTGTATGTTTGGTTGGGCGATGTAACTATTATTTTAGCGCTGAAGCGAACTTTAGTTCTATCTCTTACCAAAATGAAGCAAATTTTGGTTCGGGATGTTTCTTCTATACGTTAATAATATAGTTCGATGTTATGAAATACATTTATTTAGAAGCGACAGTAGCCTAATGGTAGAGCGTGGACCGCAAACTCAAAAAGGTCGTGGGTTTGAATCCGCCATTCGACTACTGGCGTGAACCACTCGTAACACAAGCAATTTAAGCTTACCACGAGTGGTTAAGGGGAATATTAAAATGTTTATAGCATTGTTAATATTTTGTTAAAAAAATAACGTGTGTAGTAAATAATATTGATTTAAAAATAGATTATTTTTTACTTTATGAATTATGATTGCCACACTTGGTATTTGACAAAAATATTCAGAAAGTACGAGTTTCAATGATAATATTACTTTAATATTATGTAAAAAATACTCACAGATCAAAAGTCTAGTTGTCCTTTTGTAGATTTGACTGTTTTAATTGTTTTTTTCATGTAAACACACTGCAATTCGGCATTTTGTAGGAGCTCGATTTACTGACACGATCACAAACTAGTTTTATATAACGGGCATGAGTCGAATTCTTGTACCTTTTACAGAAGGGTATACCTTGCGATGCTGCCTCCTTTGGTTTAATACTCAAAGCCCTTGAGTGGTCGAAGTCAATCAAGTTGACTCGAGTCAGTTCGAGTGGTCATAAATATTACTCGAGTGCGAGTAAAATAAAAGCTACTCGAGTGACTCGAGTGGAATATACCTCAAGTCACATCACTAGTTTCAGTCTTCATGTCAGTAGTCAGTAATCTATGGTCTTCATAAAAATGGCTCCTACTCGATCTTTCGTCCGATTTTTGAATCCAAAAACTATTAGTACTGTTATTAATAACAATATTTCTAAAGCACCGTGCCGTTTGTTTCACAAGTGTAATAATTGCCATAGGAATTTAAGTGGTCCAGTAGGATCTATTGCTTCTTCACGAAATAATTTAAATTGTAAGTTTTACATGCTGTCATTACATCACCGAAATGATTTTTTTTCTGAAACCCATTAAAAAATTGTACTTGTCGTGGAGCAATTTTATTCACATTTATACACTGCTACTTATAGTGTGTTTATATGATGCCTCTAAACTATAACCTCACTTTTCTATAGATAACTTCGTCGGGTCAAAACACCGATTTTTTCACACGACACAAAGTTTAAATGCTCGCGTTGACTATTATAAAGTTCTGGGAGTTCCAAAGAATGCTTCAGCCAAAGATATAAAAAAAGCCTATTATCAACTTGCTAAAAAATATCACCCAGACGCTAATAAATCAGATCCCGAAGCCCCGAAGAAGTTTCAGGAAGTATCTGAAGCATATGAGGTAAGCCAAGAATACAAATATGTGTTTCATTTCTTTTATTCTTTATAAATAGGAAATGACAGGCGTTTGTGTAAAAAATGCAGTTGAATATCAATTTAACCTTAAAACTAACAGTAATAATTTACAAATTTTGCATGATATAAATTAAAATAAACTGTTTATCTAAATATAGTAATACTTTTAGGTTATGCCTAAATGTTCAATTATAACCTTTAGATGAGTTAGCTTTTCAAATCGCCTTAGGCTAAATTCTTAAATCTTGTTTTTCGTTAATTTTGTTATTTGTAATGTATCTTCCAAAACGAAGGTTCTCAATTCACTTGTGTTTTTTGGATGTATGTTACAGAATATATAAATCTATTTTGAACAGATTTTTTGATTCTATTTTTTATCAAAAAAGGTAAGTACCTTATAAATTTTGTGATAAAATTCCATACCTGGGAGTGGAAAAATATTTTTTTATAGAATAAGGTTGACAAACGAGCACACAGTCCACTTGATGGTAAGTAGATGCTATGGCCCATAGACATCTATATTTATCCTCGATTAAGAATCAAAATGCAGATGAGTTGTCACCCCTGAGGACTAAGATGGAATGCCTCGTTTCCAGTAAAAAAAAAGAGGTTCTCTGGATCTCTACACGCACCATAGGAAACACAGCAGTATTAAGGTGCTATTTTATGCTGGTATTCTGTGAGAGTGTGGTCCTTCCCTATCTACGAATGAAGTTTTTAATAATGATATTCTAGTTATAAATCATAATATAATGTCCTCCAGACCGAATTTCGGCCACGGCGGCCTGCCCCACTACTCATCGGCGCAGGACAGGATTATAGTGCCCAGGTATAAGCGCAAGCACAGGTGCACTCTATTCCCTCACTCCCATAATCCGATGGGACGGTAAACCAACACGACCGGAGAGACATCAGACGCAGGCCAACGGCTATACATGCTTTCCGAGGCACAGGGGTGAGACACCGCCAACTTCCTGACTCCGGGCAATTACTGAAAATTTCTTGATGGAAACTCAATAATTGATTTTTTGGCCTGACACGGGATTTGAACCCAGGACCTCATGATCAGCAGTCTCACTATATCGCACCACCACAACCACGAGATCAACAAGGCAGTCCTTATCATAATATAATACATACATAGTAATATATCATAATTCACTTAAATGGGCTTATAATAAAATTTGAAATAAAATTACTTTTATGAATTTTATTGCATATATTAATTTATATTCCTGATGTTTCGAGCATTTTACTCAAGTATAAAATAAGTTAATATATGTGATAAAATCTGTAAAAACTAGTTTTATTTAAATGTGTAGTGTTTGCATATGTATAAGAAATCATTAAAATTTTAATATTTACAAAATCACTTTAAACAAGAATTAAAAGTTGACTTTAAAAAAATAAAGGGAACTATAAAATTATAATAGCAGCCTCTTGAAGTCAGGGCTTTAACCTTTTGAGTGCCAAAGTCGCCTATACTTGACCAGCACCTGCGGGCCCTGAGCGCCAACTACATCTATAGTCGTCCACAACATTATGAAATATAGATATAACCGGCCCACAAAAATATGAAATATAGATATTGAAAAATTATTACTGGTATTTTAATTCTACACTCCTCAAAAAAGAATAACCCGGCAACAAGTGAGTATAAAAAACAAGTCTCCTAAAGCCACAAGTACTAAGAAACATTGAACTAAAAAAAAAATGGATTTTTATCTAAGCGTATTTGCGTATGTCCAGCACGCCAAAGTCGTCTATGTTTGACCGCTAGTGTTGTAATATGTTAGGCATAGATTTATTGAAAACTATTCAAAGTTAAACGCAAATGTGTTATTTTTTAAATTATCATTGATATTTGAATAAAACAAAAGGTAAGAAATATGAAAGTATCTTCAGCTACTTAAATAAAAGAGAATTTCATTACCTAAATCAAATTTGCATAATAAATCTAATATCTCAACTCTGGCGCATCCTTAGTTATCAGTTCATTGAGCTCCGTGGTCAAGGATTGACGAGACCCTGATGACGACATAAACGAATAGCGGAAAAAGTAGTGCAGTGCAACATGAACGATTCCTCAGAACTCATTAGCATTTTGGAAAGCGTCGATGATGTTGAATTTTTTTTATTTTAATATAAAATTACAAATAATAAATGTTTATATTTTTCTTACCCTCTCAACCCCCTAGCGGTCTCATGAGGTCGCACCCACCAACAACACTTAACCCATAAAAACTTATTATGGGGACTACTTTTCTATGAAGAAGTTTGGCATTATATAATCAATATGAAATACTCTATCCTCTACTGCAATAAAAAAATTATCCTATGAATAGAAAGTTTGAATGTGAAAGCTTTTATTTATAATCTACGTTAATTTCGTACGCCATTTTGGCGTGAATATTAATGTGTTGATTTTTGGATTTTTCTAGTGTTTCATTAGTGTTTTAGTGTAGTGTTTTATTATAAAATTGTAATGGAAGTTTTTGTATGAATATAATTTAACTTTTTACGTAAATAATTTCGAGTAATATATTATATTGAAATATTTGTGATTTTCACGCGGCCCACATTCGCGTGATATGTTTTTTTTTGTTATCAAAATACAATAAAATCTTTTTTGTAATGAAACCCTGACTTTTGTTTAAACTACAAGATAGAGAATTTGTCTAGATTTTATAATGCTAAACTTCTTCATAGAAAAGTAGTCACTAAATATAAGTTTTAATCATTTTAAGTGCTGTGTGGTCGCATACGACCGCTCGGGATTTTTATGGCACTTGAAGGGTTAAGGTATGAAGAGCAATTTTTCATTTTGTATTGTGCGATTTTCTTTCTCTATCTCAAAATCATCTGGTAGCATCAGCATCATATCAAACCCCCATTGTCATAAGAGCGTAAGACTTTTCTTCTGTGCTTCACTTGGCCTACGCCTCCCCCCGACACATATAATATTTTGAGTCGATCTCTGTATAATTTGGTTAGATCGATTTCGAAATCGATACACAACGTGCGACACGGCTACATCTCTAAGAAAGTTTCAAAAAGGAAGGTCAGCTACGCCGTTGTCGTCCAGTCGTGACAGTGACGTCATCACGATGAAGAGTAGTGTTGTGATTTACTACTACTTTATTGTTATTAAAAGAGTGGAAGACAGCACAAGGTTTAATAAAACATACCAGATTATAGAGTCATTTATTGCAATAAAAACCAACAAAATCAAGTTATTTTGTGATATCGATATATTAACTCTTGGCAACACTATTTTTTTCGTAGTTATTTTTGTTTACTTTTTGCTTTGGCGTACAGGACACGGTAATGCGTTTTTGGCGTGGCGCTCAAAAGGTTAATTATTCTATACACTATGTAGCATCAACTGCAGAAGATATTGTGTGGACATTATTTTGTGTGATAATAATCTTCTGCTCATCAGATTTCGCTAATAGACACTGAGGTGAACTGTTTTGCTTCACAATATCACTCAACTGAGAACTTAGTTCGAAATAAAAGTTTTACCAATTTCTGGAGTATTATTCTAGAGTAATGCTTCAGTTGAAGCTGCCAATTTCAAATCCATAGATTGGTATAAAAACATCCGTAGAATTCCCTAGATGCTATTTCAAAAATCCGTAGATCAACAGACTTCAAGAGGATCCAAAAGTTTTGTTTTTGTTATAGAATAGAAATGTTTTGCAGAAATCCTTTCTGTACATCTAAAATTCTTGTTGTAAGTTCAATTGTAATATAACATTTAGTCAAGTAAACAAAAGTTGCCCTTAATTAAAATTAATCTGGAATTATTTACATGTAAGCATGGTGACACGGTTGACTACATGGATACTAGCTGAAAGATGGCAGTAGAAATTAACGCGCCTTGATTTAATATAGACAAATAATTCTGTAACAGCGCCATCTACATGTTTTTGTGAAGTACTACATCAACCTGTGAAGCCGATTTAGTTCTAATAGTAAAATAGCATAATGGCAGAATTATATATTAAATACAATTTTCCCGCTGAGTTTTCTATTGTTAAAATTTTCAATTTTCAGCTGTCGGCTAAGTTAACATTCATGATAACAAATGTTTTTCTTGTAAAGTTTTTAAAAATTCTGTTGATTTCAACCTCAAATTCCATAGTTTCGTAAAAATTCCTTAGTTAGAGTTGGCTCTACAGATTTTTCTGAGAATCTGTCTAACGCTGGCTTTAGTAGATTGCTCTTTAATTTCTTGCACATTTTGAACACTTAATTTTCTATATTTATGAATATTTTCTTTAATCTACTTATTATAATATAAACTAATAGTACAGAAAAACTTTTCATTTTTTGAACAAATTAACTTTATTCTCCCCCCTCTTTAAAATCTGTCAAATATTACACTTCAATTTTAAGTGGCGCCGCCCTGGTGGCAGCAAAAGTCAATGAATCCTCCCTCTCTTGGACCTCATTTAATCTTTATCGTTTTTTGAATTAGACTTACTTTTCATTAAAAGTTAACTTTTATAAGAATATATTCAATAATCATTTTGCTATATAATATTATTTTCCTTCTTTCACAGATTCTCTCCGATGAAAATAAACGTAAACAATATGATACATATGGTACAACTACAGAACAAATGGGCATGGGTGGAGGGCCAGGTGGTACTGATGGATTTACTCATCAGTGGCAATATAAATCTACCATAGATCCTGAAGAGTTGTTCCGCAAGATATTTGGTGATGCTGGTTTTAAAAGCGAGGCATTCAGTGATTTTGCTGAGAGTCAATTTGGTTTTGGTTCTGCTCAAGAGGTATATTTAATGTAATCTTTTATTTATTTTATTTCAAATAATGTTATTGTTTTTACTTTGTTACATCATGATGCTAATACTTAATATGCTTTTGTAATAATAACTCTAATTTTCAATTTTATAGGTTATAGTAAATCTGCGATTCACTGAAGCAGCACGTGGTGTAAACAAAGAAATAAATTTAAATGTTGTTGACACTTGCCCTAAATGCCAGGGATCTAGATGTGAGCCTGGAACTAAAGCAATTAAGTGTACATATTGCAATGGCTCTGGAATGGAGACTTTCTCCAGAGGTATTTTTTTATCTTTATGAAGTGCCATCTTGTCACATAACACAATCAATTACACGGGGTTATAAGAAACCTCAAATTGACGATCGCCGAAACCATCTATTGATATTGTTACGAGCTTAGGGTTCGTGACAATAAAAACTGCCGATTAAATTACCAAAATTTACACTTTTATTATTTTATTAACGAATACCAATTAAAACTTAAATCACACTAATAATTAATCACACTTAACACTTTAGTTCACTTTATTTCGCTTCGAAAGCTTCACTCGTATCGCCAATTCAATACTGCCCCGGTCGCCTCCCTCAACGTATTTAAATAGCCTTTTTCCACCGAAACATCCAGAATATTCCAGCAAATACCGGCCCCCGACCGACCAGGTGCAGAAAGTTGAGTGTGAAGCTTAGTTCTTCCATTCGATACTAGATTTCGGTAGTGAGAGAGTTCTAGAAAGATCTTGACGCTCCTATTTCTGATGCTTGATACCAGATGGCGCTAATAATTAGCCGCCACATACCAGGCGCTAATTATAGCGCACAATATCTTTCCAGACCTAAACAACAATGGCCGTTTTAAATTAGGAAAAATAAAAGAAAACCTAAAAAAAAAAAGAAGAGATGCATGGTGGAATGATGAAGTAAAAGAAGCTGTAAAAAAGAAGAAAAAAGCATATGAGAGAGAAGATGAAAGAAAGATATAAGCTGCAGAAAGTTCATGCGAAAACATTGATTGAGGAAGTACGTGAAAGGTGTAGAACAGAAGCGGACGAGAGGTTGTCGCACAACTTTAAGGAAAACTCCAAACTCTTCTGGAAAGAGGTTGGAGGGTCCCGGAGTGGTGCGACAGCCTTAAGAATGAACAAAGTGCTTTCGAGAACAAATGACGTCCTCTCAGAAAAATCGGACGTCATGCAGCGATGGAGTGAATTTTATAGAGAAATGTGTCATGATCTTAGTGAAGGATCAGGGGGTAACGCCATGACTGGCACGCCAGTCACGGACCTCGATGACACTGAGGTCATTAGCAAGAAAGAGATTGAACGTGCGATTCGAAGTTTGAAATGTGGTAAGGCTGCGGGACTAGACAGAGTTACTGCTGAAATGGTCAAGTACGGTGGGCATCGCGTCTGGGACAGCTTTCGTCTGTTGTGCAACTTGTGCTGGCGGACGGGAGATGTCCAGGATGATTGGCGATCCGCGGTCATTGTGCCTTTATATAAAGGTAAAGGTTCACATTTTGACTGCGGGTGCTATCGGGCGATCAGCTTGACCAGTTTAGCAAGTAAAGTTTACTCGAAGGTTTTGACATGTAAGATGCAAGAGAAATCGGAAAGATTCTTAGGAGGCACAATGCGGATTTAGACCTGGAAGAGGATGCACGGATCAAATGTTTTCTCTCCGCATGATCACGGAAAACCTTCTGAGTGTTAACCAGAGGATTTTCTGTGCTTTTGTGGATCTGGAGAAAGCATTTGATAAGGTTATAAGGAAGAAAATGTGGGAACTGTTGCCGGGATATGGTGTGGATGGTATGGATATCGATTGCTAAGGGCTGTGCAGTCACTTTACTATGACTGTAAAGCCTGTGTGCGGGTAGGGCATGATCTGTCACCTATGTTTAGCGTCCAAGCGGGCGTAAAACAGGGTTGTGTCATGTCTTCCTGACTGTTCTTACTGTATCTCGACAGCTGTTTACAGAAGCTGAAAAATAGCTGTTTGGGTGTGAAATTGGGTGACATAAAAGTAAATTGTCTGCTGTATGCTGATGATGCAGTGCTTATTGCACCATCAGAAGCAGAACTGCAGGCATTAGTCACGTGTATGAAAGAGGAATGTGAAATTAAAGGTCACCGTTTGAATGCTAATAAAACTAAGGTTCTGGTATTTGAAAAGGACGAAGAGAGAACGAAATGTGAAATATGGGTAAATCAGGAATGTCTAGAACAGGTAAATGAAATTGTATACTTGGGGAGTGCTTTCAGCTGGGATGGAAGATGTGATTTAGATGTGGATAGGCGCGTCGCTGCCGGAAACAAAGTCAATGGTGCCCTGAATGCATTAGTCAAAAGGCAAGGCGTGGTGAAGAGTGCACGCCTTGCAATACATAACGCAGTGTTGGTACCGACTTTGTTATATGGCAGCGAAACCTGGGTATGCCAGAAGAAGCATAAAAGCAAGTTGAATGCAGTGGAGATGCGATCTCTTCGTAAAATGTGTGGTGTTACCATAGCCGATCGAAAGCGAAACGAAGAGATTCGCAATATGGCAGGATTGAAAGATGACCTTATCACAAAAATTGATAGGGGCGTACTCCAATGGTTTGGGCACGTTGAGCGTATGAGTGAAGACCGAATGGTTAAGAAAATATATAGAGCGAAAGTAAATATTAAAAGGTGTCGAGGTAGACCGAGACTAACTTTCGAAGACCATGTGAGCAAATTGCTCGAGAGGGGAAAGGTCAAGAGTACTGGGATACCTAGACGTGCATGTATGAAGAAGTTAATGAACCTGAAAGAAGCGAAAGAGGTATGTAAGGATCGTGACACTTGGCGATCTGTTCTCTCTGGCTACCCCGTTAGGGATTGTGCGTGAAGATAAGTAAGTAAGTAAGTAAAAGAAAACCTAGATTGTTACCAACAAGAGACTCACCAAAATCCAGTACATTGTCAATTTAATTAATAAATATCATCAGTATATTTTTAAAAGCTTTAGAAATACAAATAATCGTCTCTAAAAATACAACTTTGCTTATCAGAATGCAGTATTAAATATCTTTTTATTGAACACATCTGGAATTATTTACAGTCCTTAACAACGAGTATATAACTACATTTTACTAGAGATGTCTATAGTCACCAAAGAGTATATAATCAAAGAAAAACAACTTTGTGATATTATAATCACTATGTTTGTAACCCATGACGGTTAGAGAACAGGAGAACGATCACTATAGTTCATAAAAGATAGCTTGATCTCTGCGATAGCTGTCAGTAGCGATGGGCGTTGAATCAACGAACCGTTTAAATAGACGGTCTACGTTCAATCGACGGTTCGACCGTCTACAGTTCATTCGTTAACTAGTCGAATTCATAGACGGCTAGACTGACACCCATATTTATAAACAAGTAAAAGTAATTACTTGAGTGTAATCACTTAAGTAACGATTTGTATTCGATAGTTAAGTAATTGCTCCAAGTTAGAACTGTCAAAAGTTAGAATACTCAGCCAAGTAATAGTCACCATTTCCTTTACTTAAGCACTACTTTGAGGTTATTTTGGACAAAAAAATTTAAACTTTGAATAGCATTGGAACGATTTTTGCTGTTGTAGATAATATTACATTAGAGGAGATAGAATTTGATTTATATATATATATATATATATATATATATATATATATATATATATATATATATATATCGAATAAATAATCATAAGAACAGAAATTAAACAAATAAGTATAATAATCAAACATTATATTTATGTTGTAAGTTTTACACTATTTACTTAACACATTTAATTTTATCGAATAATAATTATTTTTAATAGAAAACAAGAATTAATGAAACATTTTTTTTACTTTTACGTTTATTTCTTTAGAGTTGAATTATAAAATAACGATTTTGGCAACCTGGCGCATAGTAAGCGCTCACGGGGTACCGAAGTTGCCACAATAGGCAATTAGATCTTAGCTAGGCTAAGAAGCCCGGGTGACAACCCTTTCATGCCATCTCACATCTCCAACTCATCTCCCTTTACTCCTATAAACAGGCGATTACATGAATATATGTTACTCTTTTTTCGGGATTATGTTATTTCTGCTAAATGAACCTTCTTACTTTAAAAGTTTAGACGTTATCTAACTTCGACATTTTTTACGAATATTTATTTTCGGCGTCATAAAAATCCTGTTAATCGTCGTAAAATTGCGTATTTTAATACTTACAGTTACTTATGTTAATACAGTAAGTATTGACATACGGAATTTTATGCCTTAGAATTGTTGGTTATTTCGAAATCTTTGACAGTAAGCCAAAACATCGTTCATAATAATGAAGAACTATGTTTCTGAACACAGAAACAACCACCAAGCGCAGAGTGTTACTTGGGCATTTGCTCAAGTAAGTAACGTGTGTTACTCAACTATAGAATGAGATTTTGTAATTAAGAATTCTAACCTTAAGTAATGACTTAACTAAGAAATTACTTGGCAACAAGTAATTACTTCTTTATAAATACGGGTATGAGAGTCCACAGCGTTCTTATCTACTGACAACGCGACGACGACGCCGTAAAGTGCATGCGTTCGTTGAATTAGTATCATTGAATAAACCAATTGGAATCTTAAGTATATGACATAGGAGTTGATGTTTCTTTTTTATTAGAACTATTAGAGTGAAAAGGCAAGAGCATTCTGATATTGCGCGAAAGAGTATGTCGACGGACTGGCCAAACGATGCAGTGCAGGGTAAACGGGATTATTATTGTTTACCTATACTTTGTAGAAATTTGAAATTAGTGTGTCTACTCGCGTCGCAAGGTCAAAGCTACAGGAGTCGTGCGTGACTCGCGAATGCGAATATAGGCGAACGAGACTAACGACAAGCAAAGTTTAGCAAATTATGTTCCTAAATGTAAATACATCTGAGGAGAGATTTAAAGGGTTTTAAATTCATTCATCAAATAATTTACACGATTCTTCTGTACATACATTTATAAATAAAGAAAAGGAAAAAAAAATATTAATTAAAACACCTATGCAAAAAAATATGTAAATAAAAATTATATATGTACATAAAATCTTCTTATTACGCCTGAAATACGATAGTAGTAAAATCTTTTCAAAGCGTATTCAGCCAATCCTAAGCCTAGAAAGGTATTAAGGAAAGTTTAAATTGATTGTACAATTCGATAGTAGGTATTTCTACACCAGTCAGAGTGCTTTGTGCTCAAATCAAATTTCTTTGAATTTTTAACTAACTTTGCAGTTCATTCAACTGTCGCGAATAGTGGGTAAAACTATGTAGTTAAGACACTGTCGTCGTACCGTTGTGCCCGTAGACACCACGCTTTAGTCAAATAAACGTCTGCCGTTATCGCGTTAACTAGTCGACATATTCAACTAGTTGATCACCTAGGCAATATACGATCTAGTTTCGTTGACGAAAATTACGTCGACGACCCACCTCTAGCTGTCAGTAAAATCACGCCTATGAAGTCCTGAATTTCTTAGTAGTACAGACAGTACCTGTCAATGTCATACTAAAGCATAGCCCGCCTGTCCTTGAAAATTGTAGTTGCGAAGTTAGCTGTTTATGAGTACAAGTAGATGAAGTTAGTTGAATAATGTACAAATTTTCATTTCATTTTTAATGAGAAAATTTTCATGCTCTGTAATTTCGGTAATTTTTGACATAAAGAAACATTAAAAAATGGAGAAATATTTTATTGTGCGTGAATGTGCAAGTGGTTTAGCATCTGATCGGAAAAATAGACTCAAAATGACTTTTATTGACCGAACCTCGAGCGATTGCAGCGCCTTACTTATGGTGTCCATATTTCTGGACACTATTTTCTACGGTGATCGTTCTCCTGTTCTCTAACCTCCATTGATTATAGTGTTCTCTAAAACGGGAGGGGTTTTTGGCGGGAACTTGGCCGACGACGTACTGTCGCTCCTGTTTTGTCTGTTAAATAATTGTTTGAAGTGGATTTTAATTCGTAAAAGTGATGTGATTTTGTGAATTAAGTGTCTGCGCGTTTGAACTTTTAGGAGAAAACGGCGAAACAAGTTCTTTGATGTTGATATAAACCTCAAGTTAATATGATCGCTTGGGCGCCTTATCAACTTGAGTGGCTGTCGTCATCAACAGTCCGTCGGGTTGAGCTGTCGTCAAAATCTCCCAAAAACTTTGCAATGTGACGCATCAGCATATTGTGAAGAAAAAATATATAAAATGAAGATTGTTCCTGTTCTCTAACCTTCATGGTTTTACCCATATTTTTCTAAAGACTAAAGTTCTTTTTTTTAAATTAAATTCTAGTTGATGTGAAAATGTAAAAATTTAAAATTCTACAATTTAAAATAGATCACATGATTTTTTTTTATAGAAGAGGGTGCAAACGAGCATGCGGCTCACCTGATGTTAAGTGAATACCGCCGCCCATGATCAATCGCAATACCAGGGGAATTGCAGGTTCGTTGCCGGCCCTTTAGAAAGAAGTACGCTCTTTTCTTGAAGGTTCCCAGGTCGTATCGGTCCGGAAAAATCGCTGGTGGTAAACTATTCCACAGAGAGGTTGTACGCGGAAGAAAACTCCTCTTGAAACCTACAGTGGTGGATCGCCAAGCATCCAGATGGTGTGGATGGTATCGGGAAGTTTGCCGCGTAGTGCGTTCACGAAATTTGGCGGCTGGGATTAATCCGAACAATTCCTCAGAGCACTCTCCATGGTATATGCGAAAGAAAATGCAAAGAGATGCAACATCTTTTCGCAGTGCCAGTGAATCGAGCCGATCGGAAAGCACTCGGTCGTCGACGATTCGAGCCGCTCTGCGCTGGATGCGGTCAAGTGGAAGGAGCTGGTACTGGGGAGCCCCAGCCCAGAGATGGGAACAGTATTCCATGTGCAGCCGAACCTGCGCCTTGTAAAGTTGCAGGCGGTGTGCCGGCATGAAATACTGTCCCGCTCTGCTGAGCACGCCAAGCTTTTTGAGGCCAATTTGGCCTTCTCTTCCAAGTGACCACGAAACTGCACGTCACTCGATATGTCGACGCCGAGGATTCCGCCGAGGAGTGCCTTGAAACTGAGGAGATGCGACAAAGGGGTTCTTTTTTAGCGGTTAACGCGCAAACTTGTGTCTTCTGGGGGTTAAACTGGTCTAGATTTAGTCGCCCCCAATCCGAGACTCTGTTCAGCAAAGACTCAACTTCAGACACAAGTTTGTCCCGGTACTCGGAGACGTTTTCCCGAGAAATATTGGCTCGGCCGGTGTAGAGAACATCACCAGTGCTGTCATCTGCATAGCAATGAATGTTACGGGTTTGCAACATATCATTGATATGCAGAAGAAACAGCGTTGGCGATAGCACGCAGCCTTGTGGAACGAACTTGATGCTCTGATCTGCAAGAAAGCTCCAATTGCACAATTTCTCTCGAAGCCCATAGGAATGGAGCTTCTTAAGAAGCACTTTGTGCCAAACCCGATCGAAGGCCTTCGCAATGTCCAAACTAACGGCCAATGCCTCCCCCCTTGGACTCTACTGCCTCCGCCCATCTGTGAGTTAGGTAGACGAGAAGATCACCAGCTGACCGACCACGGCGAAAACCGTATTGGCGGTCACTAATCAGATGGTGATCCTCAAGGTACCTCATGAGCTGGCAGTTTACAATGGGCTCCATTGTTTTGGAGAACAAGGAGGTGATTGCGATAGGCCGGTAGTTGGACGGGTCTGAGCGGTCGCCTTTTTTAGGGATCGGGTGGACGAAAGCAGTCTTCCATGATTTTGGAACTACGCCTAGGGAGCAGGAGTACCGGAAAAGACGCGTTAAAACCGGTGCCAACTCTGGAGCACACGTCCTCAGCACAATTGGGGGGATTCCGTCAGGCCCACTCGACTTGTGGATGTCCAGGGAGAGGAGTGCTTTGCGAACCGAGCGCTGTGTGAACTGCACTTCCGGCATGGAGCACTCACACCACCGGATGGTCGGCGGCGTACTCCCCCCGTCATCGAGAGTCGAGTTGGACGCAAAGAAAGAGCCTAGAAGATCGGCTTTCTCCTTTGCGGTATGGGCCAGTGAGTCATCCTCCCTGTGCAGAGATGGAAGAGATGGCTGACAGAAATTCCCCTGGACAGCCTTGGCGAGAGACCAGAATGCACGGGTTACAGAAGGAAGGCGAATTAGTTTCTCGCCAATTCTGCCTATGTGCTCGGACTTTGCCTTGGCAATGACTCTTTTGAAGGACCTAGAGGCGGAATTATACTTCTTTTTTAGAGCGCTGGTGTTTACATCCCGGACACTGATGCGTCAGCCCAGGCTTGGTAGCACTCCTGCTTATAGCATGATGCTATTTTACAGGAGCGACCAAACCATGGCTAAGATTATTTATATATATATATATATATATATATATATATATATATATATTTATTATTTGGTCCAAGGACTCTTAAACTTCGTCGCTTCTGTGTGTTCTGAGAGGGTTAAGGGAAACTTAAACAATAAACAGTTACAGTATTTCAATAATTTGTACGAACTTGACATTTTATTGGAAAAGTAATTACAGGATTAGTATAGACCTCCTCCATAGGTTGCCTCGTAGGATATTTGCATTATAGTTATCACACTGAGGAGAAAGTTTGATTTATTTATTCAGTCGCCTCTTATGACACTAATACGATGATAAGGGATAGTGATTCTCTTACGTCGCCACTACATAGAAATGAATCTATAATTATTTTATAAAAATTACCTTAGGGTGAAGATTTCTTTCCTTCTCCGCTGCATGTATATTTGTCCAGCAGGAAGTAAACATGTGACATTCGGTGGACTAAAAGTGACTATTTGAAATGCTTTTGCTTATTATCAGGAAATGTCCGATTTAAAAAATATATAACATGCCTTTCATTGTCGAAAAATATTACATAGGGATAACCATTATCCCTTAAAAAAGGAGAACTCGAACATCAAAGTTTTTTTGCAGCAATGAAATTTTAGTTTTTTTATCTTCATTCATATAAAGTATTTTAAAAATTAATTAAGTATATGTAATTTCAAGAAGTGTCAATTCTTGCTCTTCAAAATCGTGTCTAAAATACAATAGTTTGTGTAACCTGGCTAGTTTCTGTCTGTGTGGCTTTATTTTAAAAATTTAATTTCAGGTCCTTTTGTGATGCGTTCGACTTGTCGACATTGTCATGGATCAAGAATGTTAATCAAATTTCCATGTGTTGAATGTGAAGGAAAGGGTCAATCGGTATGTATATTTAGATATGTATATTTTGAAGAAATACAACTTTTAGCATTTGACTTAAGCTTAAGCTGTCTTGAAGATCTGGCTTTTAAATTTGCTGTCATGAAGGGAGAAGAAATTATTTAGCTTTTTGTAGCAGCTTGACTGCAAAATCTTAAAAATCTATCTTTTTTACTATGAGAGAGTATCTCATTTGGAATAAATTGTGTGGAACTTGAAAAATCTAAATTAGGTGACCAAAGCTTTCAATCTGTATGTTAATAGTCTGTTGCAGTGTTATAACATAATGTTTATATTTAGGTGCAACGCAAAAAGGTAACGGTTCCCGTGCCCGCGGGAGTTGAGAATGGACAGACTGTGCGTATGGCTGTTGGGAAAAATGAAGTGTTTGTAACCTTTAAGGTAGAAGAGTCAAATTACTTCAAACGCGATGGGCCCGATGTTCACACGGATTGCACAGTAAGTTTATTTTTCGCTGCATAATTACCATGTTCTCATTTATATTATATTATCAACAAATTAAAATGACATCTAGTTTCAAAATAAATTGTGGAAGTAATGTATCAAACAAAATGAATTAAAAATCTGTGTGTATGAATTAGCAATTAATCATTGGTTTTTGTTAACTTAACAAAACTTGCATAATTCTTAATTATGCACATTAGCATCTACTTTTACTTATTTACACTCCTATAGCTTCTTTTAAATTAAGCACAGTGACTGTCAATAAGTTCCTACTCATTTTTGTAAACTAGTATGTTATCGAAAACCACACGATAGAAGTGAAAATTTACGTAATAAATAAAACGTAATTATTGTAACGATTCACTCCTTGTCAGACAGTAAATCTGGCTGATGAGGACTGCAGATTCAGATGTGTAACCGACCCGAGCGCGATTGATGTCGAATTGAGCTGAATAAACCCGATTCAGCGTCACCGACCCGAGTGTGATGGTTCACTTCCATTCACTGTTCAGAAAGAGCGCGCCTAAGGAAGTTTACACTTCAATAATCAACTATATTAATTATGATCTTGTTAGCTGCACCTCAAACAATCTCCGACCTTGTTGTAACAAATTAAGAATTAAAAATTCGAAATCCGCAATCCATATTGTCATTGGTTTTCTAAACATCTTACTCTATTACGTTCGTCAGTCGAATAGTTGACGACAGTCTCGCGTCGCGTCAACGAACAAGTTGAAGCAGTTGAGTGAATAAGTTTCGTTTTCCGTTGTTTCAACCAGTAGTTGAATTACAAATTTAGTTGACGAACTCAATTAGTTGATTGATAGACAATTTATAGTTGCACATTGACAGAACATTAATGTTTAACTAGTTTGTTAATTCTACACCTATGTATACTGTGTATATACAATTCAAAAAACATAATATCCAAAGTATGACCTATCACATAAATGTGGTCTACAACCAAAATCGACATAGTACATTATAAATTTACTAAAGTAAAATATCAATAAGAACATGAAAAAATATACATGTTATATTTGAAACTACCTAGTGAATGCTTTATTGGAATTGCAGTAAGCTAAAATGCTTGAATAGCACAACAAATTTGTACATGCTGTTTTTATTTTGCATTACACCTGTTATTATATCATATATTAATATCGTATTGGCCATTGTTTACTTGACTCTCCGGGTTATCCTTTTACTCTGCAGATGTAATATTTTAGAAAAGGCAAAATTTGTCAAGTCAATAAACAACATGTACAGTCCCTGGCCAAATTATTAGACGCACTGTATTTTTTTAGTAATTTTATGTTTCTTAAGAGTTTTTATGCAATAATGGTATATTTAAACTACAATATTATTGATTTTTATTTAAAAGAATTGTTGTAGACTACATATTTGTATTTATTTTTAACATATGGCAACACTGTGTTGACAAAGTGATACATGAACGTAAACAAGTACAAATCTGTATCAGTCGCGATCGGAATCGAATCAGGTACGAACGTGTTTTTGTGGCTTTATGGACAGTGATTGTTTGTTTAACAGTTTTATACTACTCAGTTATTAGTTTATTTTGTATGCAGTGTTTTAAAAAAAGTAATTGGATTATTTTCATTATGGGTAGAAAATGCGATCTTTCACCACGTAAAAAAGCTGAAGTGAAGGCCCTTGTGATTGCGAAAACATTTACAAACCGAGAAATATCACGAAGATTGAAGGTTTCTGAATGTAGTGTACGACGCATAAAAAAGAAAATTGAGTCAGGGGGAGGAATTAAGCCCGAAAAGAAAGAAAAGATGCGGTAGAAAACCAATTTTCACTCCACGGTCAGAGAGATGTTTGAAGAAAATTTGTCTACAAAACAGATTTGCTACCACAAAGGTAATAAAATCACAACTCCAGGATGCTAGCGTAAATGCTTCTGAGCGCACTGTTCGAAGAAAATTGAAAGAATTAGATTTCAAGGCTTGTCGCCCCGCCAGGAAGCCCAAGTTAACAGCTGCAATGAAAGCAAAGCGCCTGAAGTGGGCCAAACAATGGCAAGACAAAGATGTGGACTTCTGGAGATCGGTAAGATACAGCAATTTAATCAAAAATTGATACATTGTTATCATTTTCAGTTAAATAAAGCAAATAAACATGGAAGTTTATATATTTTTTTCTTATTTTTGACAGGTCTGCTTCAGTGACGAAAGCACATTCGAAATTTTACAAAATAAAGCTCAGTATGTGCGTCGTCGTCATGGAGAAAAGTTTCATCCTGATTGTGTCGTCCCGACGGTTAAATATCCCACCAAAGTGATGATTTGGTCAGCCATCAGCGGCAAGGGCACTGGACGTCTGTACGTCGTCAAAGGAATAATGAGGCAAGATCAGTATAAAGAAGTACTGGAAAATCGGTTGATTCCGCAGCTCAGAGAATGGTTTCCAAATGGGGAACCATTCACTTTCATGCAAGATGGAGCTCCCTGCCACACTGCTCGGTCTGTTAAAGCTTTTTGGCAGAAAAAAATATCCCTCTGTTGGATTGGCCCGGTAATAGCCCTGATATGAACCCCATTGAAAATGTGTGGGAGCTGATGAAAAGAGAAGTGGCTAAAGATGTGATTACCAACAAAACCCAGCTCCTAGAAAAGATTATTTATGTGTGGAATCATCATCCTCAAATGCAGGAGACAGTACAGTCTTGCATTGATAGCATGCCGCGCAGAATTAAAGCTTTGATAGCGGCTAAAGGTGGCTCAACTAAATATTGACTTTTACTAGCATTAATTTCACTTTTCTTTAAAATTTAATAAACTTACTCTTTTCTAAATTAATGCTGTTTTATTTATGTCAAATAAATAGGTAATTGATTGGATAATATAAAAATAAAAAACAAATCAATTTAAAATAATAAAACGGTACAATATCACTCGGTAATCAATATTTTACATGAAATCTTGCAGTGCGTCTAATAATTTGGCCAGGGACTGTATTTTTCTTAGTAAACTGAAGATAAGGGTCAAAGAAAATTTAAAATTCTGATAAAATTAATTAATGGATGAAATATATTACATAAAAAAAGAAAATTTATTAAATAAGTCATTTATTTTCTTATGAATGGCTTTTTGACCACAAGTTTTATAACAAAAATATATAATTATAACTGAAATTAAACAAAAAGTTTATAATACTAATTTATGGCAAGAAGTATTTAATACAATATTGTTACAATAAATATTCAGAAGGCACTTGTCCCCCCGCCGAGGAAGCGATTAACTACTATCGACAATTTTTTCGCTCAAGAAACGAATAATAGATATAGATTCCGTATCAATACAAGAGATATGTATATATAGATCCTGTGTCAATACAAGAGATATGTATATTATATAGATCCTGTGTCTATAAAAGAGATATGTATATATAGATCCTGTGTCAATACAAGAGACGTGTATATATAGATCCTGTGTCAATACAAGAGATATGTATATATAGATCCTATGTCAATACAAGAGATATGTATATTATATGATCCGTATCAATACAAGAGATATTAGTAGACGCCCGGAGACGCTCTCTCAGGAGAGCTATCAAAGATAAAACTTGCTCAGCGATGCTTACTTGGCGATTGGAATTCATGCTGAGAAACCAACCAGCGGTCATATTGCTCTACAGTGAGCTCTACATCTGAGTGCACTCGCTTGTTAATCCAGCAATGAAACTATTGGAAACACACACTCGCTTCTCGGTACAAGCCAAATCTTATCTAGTTTCTAGCTCTACTCGTTTCTTATTCTTCTCGCGGTGGGTCAAGTTTCGAAGTCTCATTACTACGTATTACACAAAATAAATAAATTTTTTTGCGTTTGTAACTTATAATTTATTATTTTGTAACTTCTTTATTTTGTCCTTTTTTAGATTTCTGTATCCCAGGCAGTATTAGGTGGCACTGTTAGGATACAAGGCTTATATGAAGATCATACACTACAAGTGAGTGGCATATTATTAGTTAAAGTATGTGTTTAACGATGTGACAACACATTAATAGTTAAAATAAATGACTATTACATTGTGGGTCCCAACCAGGGGTAACAGAACAGCTATGTAAAAACCAAAATTGTTTTGATTTTTGAGCCCTACTATGATTTCATCAAAGTGAAATGGAAGGACATAATAAAATTATGTCCTTCCATTTCACTTTGAATCCTTTATTAATAGGATTTAATAATTCCAACCATATGTAAAGATTAAAGGCCATTAATTGAAGTAATTAACTTCAACCAGTGAAATGTAAATTATGATAAGTATAAAATAATTCTACAAAAATGATTTAAAAGTTGATTACGAATATAAGTTATCTTACAATATAACAAAAAATACTAATTTTATTTATTCCAAATACTATTCTTCATTCAAACAAAATAAGAAAAATTAAAAATATAATTTGATTATAAATAAAGTTTTTTTTTATAGAATAAACAACACAACAAACAAGCCCACAGTCCACCTGATGTTAAGTGTACACTGTGGCCCATAGACATCTACATTTATCCTCGATTAAGCATCAAAATTCAGATGCGTTGCCACCCCTGAGGACTAAGATGGAATGCCTTGTATTGAGTAGAAAGGGTTGTTGGTTCTCTATACTCATGATTCAAAACACAGCAGTGTTAAGCTGCTATTTTATGCTGGTATTCTGTAAAAGTGTTGTCCTTCTCCGGTCGAGCATAACCATTCGTGCTACAACAATAATATAACTGCAGCATGATTCTAATAGGTTTTTTTATTTTGAGTTATAGTTAAGAAATGTGAATTTGAGAGACCTTTACTCTGCTGTCTGCCATTAATTATTTAAACCATATGAAGTAAAAAATCCTTTCTCAGGGTACTGATTGTTCACTACCTCTACGTCCTATCGTGCGCACTTGTGCGACTAAGTCCGACCCACCGTACTCAGATCATAATTCTTGATTCAGTTCCGATCATTTGTTCCCGTTGGTCTGTCCGTTTCACTCCGACCCACAATACCATTTCTTGATTGTTTTAATTGTGCGTCCTCAAATGCGTCTCACTCAGATATGCAGTTACCAGGTCCGTAATTCTCGATTAAGTTACCCGCTAAGCGTTCATTTACATTCTCCTTTACTCTCTGGGCCGTACTATCGTATACAAACTGTATTTTGTTGACTATGTTGATACTACCCCAGCGATTGTTACATGAACACTGTCATTTTACAGATAACGCCTGGTACGTCATCACACAGTACAATACGCTTGTCGCGGAAAGGAATGAAAAGGGTTAGCCAGCATGGCTATGGAGATCACTATGTTCACATAAAAATTCAGGTAAGAATTAATAATGGTTAAATAAAATCTAACAATGCAGCTCTTTATTTAGTCCACTGTAGAACATAAACCCCAAAGGTTTTCACAAAGTATTATCTAGCTCTGGGCTTACTGCATCCAGTAATTCAGCAAGGAATTACTTATTGAAACTTAACAACGGCTGTAAAATTAACTGTGGTTTCGTGCAGGTAGTCTGGTAGATCTGCTTTCTTAGTACATATATATACACACGCATAATATACACATACATATATATGTATGATGTATGTATATATATACATACATAACATAAACACTCACGCCTGTCACCCAGAGGGGTAGGCAGAGACTACGGACTTCCATTTGGCACGATCCTCACATAAATGTTTCGTTTATCGCCGGCACCAATGAAATTGTTAATTGGAATTTTAAGTGCTGATTTACCACGTGCTCGGCGGTGAAGGAAGAACGTCGTCAGGAAACCTGCATGTCTGAGGAATAAGAGAAAAAAAATATTTCGAAGACGTGAAGTTCGCCAACACGCATTGGGGCAGCGCGGCGGACCCTAGCTGTAACTTTACTTTTTTTTTTACTTTTATATATACAGTGGATTTCATTAATAACGACCCCGGTTGTAACGACTTTTTGGTTATAGCGACGTCAAAATTACGTCCCTTGAATTTAAAGCATACTTTCGTAAGAAATTCATTCGGTAATGGCGACTTCGTTATAGCGTCAATTTCGGGTATAGCGACTTGTTTTTATGAACTATTTATGACCTTGAAATCCCTTGCTGATATTGCGAATGAGTCGGTAAAGGCACAAAGACTCATTCATAAAACTATTAAGCTTTCTTATCCTTTGTTTTTTCTTCAAACACAAGAAAAGGAGGATGAAGAAGAGGAAGAAGATTGCAATCTAAATGAGATTCCAACAACTAGAGATGCATTATGTGCTATAACAACGCTCAAAAAGTACTGTTTATTTGGTGAAGGCCAAAATAATTTAGATGTTGAAGGAATTATGAAAATGGAATACACCTTACAGCATGCACAAAAACTAAACTTAAACAGTGCACTATAACACGTTTTTGCAATTACACCCATCTATAACATAATTAAATAAATGATAAGTAAAAATGTAAATGACTTATTTCGGATATAGAGACCTCCGAATGTAGCGACGACATTAAAGTGGTCCCTCCGCCGTCGTTATAACCGAAATTCACTGTGTATTTTTTTTTATATATATATATATATATATATTTATATATATACAATAACTGATTGTGATGAGAAAATAAATATAAATTCAATTCTATTCATTTCTTTTTGCATTTTTTTACTTATATGTATGCATATAATAAGAGAGTGAGAGAGAAAATAAATCCATTCATTATTGGCTACATGTTTTAGTATAATTAATAAATTATCTTTTCTGTAATATTTGTAATTTATGAATTAGATAAAAAATTAGTAAGTCATTGTATACAAAACCTGGTTCGTACGCTGGTAAGCTGGCACCTAGGGCATTAATATATTTTATTAAAAAATAAAATAAAACATCAGTATTAATAAACAATAAAACATTAATAATAGATAAAAATTAACAATAATTATGATCTCGACTGTACTTGTGCAGAAGAAATATTTGTATTGCGCAGCATCTTGCATTTTACTTTGCAGCTGCCATCAAGTATTAATCACAGTCTATCATCACGTCCATCACTCCACCTAGTGAAGAGTCGTTTTACACTGCTGACTGCTCGACTGGGGCTTGAGAACCTACCTTCTTCATCAACTATCCATTCCATTACAACTCCTAAATAATTCTTTAAGTAAAAGTCGTGGGGTGTATGTAGGAACAGGCTTCTATTACTGAGATATTTGGGATAGGGAAGAGTCTGCTATGTAGCCCTAATATGTTTTCGCAGACTTGTGGATTTGCAGACTTGTCCTCAAATTTTTAGATTTCTCTGATGTTCCTCTCGATGTTTTCCTTCACGACTAAGCACTTTATAAATAAGTATTTGAAATTGTAACCAACAATTTCATTGGTGTATGCAGAAATTGAACTCTGTTCTCCAATTCAGCCGCCAAGCGTGATTGTGCAAATCTTCTCTATTATTTCAGAGGCCCATGTGGTTACGTACTGGTATGGAAGAAGATCAACTGTAAACTATATAGTTTGATTATAATCTAGTATTAAAATAATAAACAATATATGTAATTTGAAATAATTATTTTAGGTTAAGTGGATATTTTGCTGAAATATAATCTTTAACACATTTTTTAAAATCATTTAAGGTACCAAAAACGTTAAGTGAGAAGCAAAAGGCGCTTATGTACGCATACGCCGAATTGGAGGAAGACACACCGGGCCAGATACATGGGGTCTCATATGACAGAGATGGTAAGAAAGCATAGATATTTCAAGAAATGGAACATTCTCTCTTCTGTAACCACTTGCGGAACAGAATTTTAACAGAAATATTTATATCATGTAAGAAAAACATTATTCAAAGGGCTTCTTATTGCAATTATTTGAGTGTTGCATGTAGCAACTAGAGAAGGATATAGTAAAGAAGAACAGAATAAATTTAATATGGCAATTAACTTCGTATTTTGCTATGCTTCTAGTACGAAGAAATTTGTTGCTTTAAGGTATTCTTCAAAAACGTATTATTCAAACCTCCTGTGAGTCATTGCTAAATAATTTATTTTACAGAAAGTACCAAAAGTAGTAGCAGTGGTACAAATGAGGCGGACTCACAAAAGATCCATGAAATGAACAGGGATTCGGAGTGGCAGGACAAGTCCAAATCCTGGACAATTTTTGACAGTTTACTAGAATCTTATCGGAATAACACTTCAGCTTTCGTCGCCGGTTTTCTTTTATCTGTTAGCGTTATCGTGTATTTAGCTATTATTGACCCAAATGATAAAATAGGTTTACACGAGTACATAGAGAAAAGAGATAGGGAGATGAGCAACAATTATCCCGAAGTGGATACACCTTTAGGTTATCAAAGAGCTATTAAGAGGCAAAAAGAACAAAATCCAGAATTATTTGACGCCTAAATTCGATACGAGTATTTGTAGCTGTTAAATAAAATATGCATATAATGTATATTCTAATTTATTCTATAAAATTAACCTGATAATGTTACTGGAATTACACTTTTTAATAACAAATGTATTGTTATGGTTATGTACAATTTATCATCCAAGAATGTAACAAAAATTGTAAATATGATTTTTAAAGTTAATTTTTGCTTAAAGTATGGTTTTTAAATTCTCTTTCCAAAGTCAAATGGTTGTTGTTTAGGTTATATAAGTTAGGGTATATAGTATGATGGTACCAGCAATTTGTGATATTGTCAACTTTATTATTTGAATATAGAAAATATTAAATGGATCAGTTGTTTCATTTGGATTCCTTTTTTAAAATTCCCGTTTCCACCATCATGCTATAGACCGAAAATATTAAAAAGGTTCGTAATATTTTTTTTTAAATTCCCGTTTCCACCATCATGCTATAGACCGAAAATATTAAAAAGGTTCGTAATATTTTTTTTTTAAATTCCCGTTTCCACCATCATGCTATTGACCGAAAACATTAAAAAGGTTCGTAATATTTTTTTTTAAATTCCCGTTTCCACCATCATGCTATAGACCGAAAATATTAAAAAGGTTCGTAATATTTTTTTGTCCTATAGGTGACAAGTTATAAAGAAAAAAACTTGTTTTGTGAGTTAGCAATTTTTTTTCAATGTAGTTTAGCAATGACTTCGCATGTAGATTTTTAAAATTTATGAGTAGTATATTTTCATAATAAATTCAAATTAAATAGACATTTTTGACAACACAATTATATTTATAATAATCATTGTATTTGATTCTTCATTCATAAAGTACGAATATTAAGTTAAATTTATTTAGATTTATAAATTCTTAGATCAAGTAGAGTACATACAATATACATAAGCAGATGTAAGTAAAGGATGTTAAAAGTTTTACATACAATTTTTTTTAGGTTAACACACATTTTTACACATTTTTAAAGCGGTTGAGCAAGCCATGCTGCAGTTACATTATGGCTGTAGGTATATCTCAGCTCGACTGGGGAATGGCTACACTGTCAAAGAATACCACGTAGAATATACAGAATACCAGAATGAAATAGCTTTATTTCACTCTGGTATTCGGTGTAAAAAACAAAGACCCGTTTTTACTGGTAATATGCAAGGCATTCTGTCTAATTTTCAGGGGCTGAAAGTGCACTTCCCATCAATTTAAATTTTGATTCTTAATCGAGGATAAGTATAAGTGCCTATGGGTGACATCACTCTATCGGGTGGACTATGTGCTCACTTGCCACCCTTATTCTATAAAAACACACTATCCAGATATTTATATAAGGCATATTTTTGTGTGAAGCGCACGTGAGGGAGCCGTGGTGGGAGAGGAGGCCTGTGCCCAGCTGTGGGACGTATATAGGCTGTAACTTTAACTTTTATATTTTTGTGTTTATTTGCATTATACCGTGTACCATAGCAGTATTTTCTCTTGGATGTTTTTCTCCAAACCTCGAATACGCTACTTTCTATCACGAGTTGATGAGTCTATGTGTAGGTCGAATTTTAATATTTTTACACTTGGAGGGTTTAGCCTTAGAGAAGGCTTAGAAAACCAACACTTACCTAGTGTATTTGGTAAATGTCGCATATAATTCGACATAATCTGAAAATTTAATCTAGTCTCCAAAAGCCATCTCTAGGCTTGGCGTTCTTCAAAGTTGGGAGCTGAGAGCTGAATTAGTGGTCGCAATCCGAACGGGACGGTTTCCAAGATTTTTGTAAGCAGTCTTGTCGGGTTTTCAGGCTGCGAGCTCTGACTCCGATGAATCTGTAAAAGCCAAAAGGCTAACAGCACTAACATCACAGAAACCAACAGCAATGCGTTTGTGCCTCTGATTAAAAACGAAAAGTGACACCCGATAAAGGATATGAAACGGCAAAAGTTCATTAATCCTAATTTTAGATTTACTGATGAATTTTTGAATTAAACGAAAAAAAAACTTCTTTTGCTGCGTTCAGAAGTACGTTTCCGATCGTAGTCACTGTCGGCTGGAAGTTTATTACATTACTTTTGCAGCCGCCGCTTTTTAGTTGTGTGATTTTTCTTGCACTGGCAGCGCGGCTGACATTGCTTTACCCTAGAACCCTCTCAGAATTGAACAAGACTCACAATCAGGCACAGGCCCAGCTGTGAGTCTTTATAAGCTGTAACTTTACTTTTACGTGATAGAGCCATGCTACAGCATATTATGGCTGCACCATGACTTGATGTACTGTGTTTCGTTTGCTGATAGACGAGAACTAGAATACAATTAGACAAAAAGTATGAATTTGTAATGTTAAATGTAAAAGTATTATATAATTAGAAGTAGGATACTTTAAAAACTTTCATGTATTTGATTATTCTAATAATAATTACTTACCAAGAAAAACATTTGGGATTTTGAATGTTAAAATACATTTTTTAAATTAAACAGGAAAGAAAATTTCGATATCGGAGCATCAAAATCTAGTGGATGCTGTTAAGGAAGCTCTGAAAACAAAGAAAAACATTGACGGTCCATCTCCGGATACACCTGAAGATGATGTTCTCAAAGAATCTAAAAGAAGCAAAGGATAACTTTAAAGAAGAGAGTAAGGAAATGTATACCGCTCGACGGTGTTCTGGGAATGGAAAAAATAGTTAAAATTATTCCGGTAAAATACTTTAACAATAAAAGATTAAAAAACGTCGGAAGATTTAATTTTAGTAAATTTATTTTGCTTTTCGCAAATCGAATCTAAATTACAAAATGTCCGCTGTTTTATTTTTATTTCATTTTAATTCATTACTGTGATAAAAAATTAAAAAGTTTCGTTGATTATGTTGTAACATAAAATAGCTATGAATTACGTGTCAGCGTAGCCAATTATGAATGTGCTAAAATATTAATACTTACGAACTAAAGAGCTGTATATAGCCGTTGACTAGTGAGTAGGAAATGGTAAATAAAACATATGAATATTTTTAACGTTGTTTTATTTATTGCATCTTAAGTTTACGACTCTGCTGCATGGTATATACTGTAGTATCTAGGTAAAGACTTTTTGGTTTAACTATTAGTGTTTCTTGACTGGATATTTTGCTTTTTTTAGGGTTGAATTAGTGTGTTTAATATTAGTGTTTTAAGTTTTAATTTGTGTAAAGTAAATAAAGTTTAATTTAGTATCATTCACCAACGACATCCCTATCCCGTCGAACGGTGTTAAACTAGCCCTCTTCGCAGATGACACAGCCCTTTACTCTTTAAAGGGCTGTGTCATCTGCGAAGAGGGCAATCTGTGGCAGTGAGTTTCGGAACAAGATCCAAAAGTCAGTTAACGACTTAGGAGCTTGGTTCCAAAAATGGCGTATCGACGTAAACCCGGAGAAGAGCTCCGCCGTTTGCTTCGAATATAAACGACGCCGTCTCACCGCCACTCCGCCAATCAGGATGTTAGGAACCCCTGTCGCATGGCAAACAAAAGTCAAATATTTAGACGTCACCCTAGATGCAAGGCTCACTTTCGAGCCCCATATCAAGAAGGTAACTCGCACCGCGCGATTTTACATGGGTAGGCTCAACAGCATGTTGGGCAGACACAGTTAAATGTCCCTCCGCAACAAGTGAATCCTATATAAGGTCTGCATACGACCTGTCATGACCTACGCGGCCCCCATTTTCGCACATGCCAAGCCCAAAGTTATAAATGAACTTCAAATAGTTTAAAATCTATTCTGTCGTAGGGCCACTAACTCGCCCTATTATGTCCGTAATGCCGACCTACACCGAGACTTAGAGCTCCCAACAGTCCAACAGTTCCTTAAATCACTGAGAGATTTTTCAAAGCCTCAGAGTCCCACCCAAATCATCTCATTCGTGAGGCAGCTGCCTATGCAGCCCCTATCCACACTCGCTATAGTGTGCGCAGACCGAGAAACTCTCTCTCGGACCCCCCCAACAAGCTTTCGGCTGACCTGAACTGCCTCCTGGCGGTTCAGGCCGAGCCTACTTAACACATCCCTTAATCTGCCCGGACTGCTATAACACGGAGTGTTGGCCGCTCCCCGGGCAGAACACCTTGCCCGGCGGGAGATCTCCCCTCTTCCTTCCACGGCCACAAAGTCAAGAGTGAGGCTTTTGTTATGTTGAGAGTGCGATTGACCATCTGGTCAAAAAGGTTTTAATTAATATGTTTTACTCTGTATCAGACTATTGGCTTAATTCATGGTGCTGAATCAAAGCGCATCAAAGCCACTGTCTCCACTAAATAATCTACAAAAAAGCCATCGTGGATAAGCTGATCTCACGCGATTCCGTTACCGCGACAGGGTTTTTGCGAAATTCCGCTTTACACAGCAGACGCTGATGGCTCCTTGGCACAGTGTGAGGGCCGTGGGGTTGAATCCCGCACGGAAAAAGTATTTGTATGGCCTACAAGTGATTGTTTCGGGTCTGGATGTTTGTCCTTGCCTAATTATGTATGTAAATTGCCTCCACGATACAGGAGAAAATTCTAGGGTAACGTCTTATCTGAAGAAAAAAAAACACCCCGAGATTGTAGGTACGTTATGTTCGTGTGAATATTTTTGCGACTGGTGGCAGCTTAAGAGAAACCTTCGCCACCTACAGCCAACGCTATAGTCGACTCTTCAGTCGATCCTAAAGTCGACCATACTATCGACCCCAGAGGCTACTCTACAGTTGCCTCATAGTCGATTTTACAGTCGACACCACTTTCGACCCCACAGGCGAACCCGCAGTCCCTACAGTAGACCGTAAAGTCAACCATAGTCAACGTTATATTTGACGCCACAGTCGACTACAGACAACATCGGAGTCGACCCCAATTTTAACCCTACATTTTACATTTTTCAATTCGAGAACACTCCTCACATGATCGTTCTCGAATGAAGGAATGCGATGCAAAGGCGATGTTTTAATTGCGCAAAGGTTATTTAACATTTGAATTCTTATTTAT